CCTCATGATCACACAGGCTGGTGTGCTTCTTCGATGTGGGCTTTGTTGCTTCTCAGCTAGATGGCCGCTTGTTTATCTTCAAGCCTCTAAGACCCTAGACAGTATATCTTTTGATTCGCCAGGCTCCATCAGCTTTCTACAACACATTTGCTTATGTACCTGCTTTGTCTTCAGCGATTGTGTCGGGAAGGTGAGCATCATAGAATGCCAGTTTAATAGAATAAAGTGTTCTTGCATTGAGGGAGTACTTGAGTGGAGGCCCAATGTTCATCTGCTTCTACCTTAATACTAAACCTATACATATATGCACATAGATCTATTTCCCCATCATCATATGTAAATATATTTACATATGTACGTGCTTGTATTTAGACCTTTATAAATGCCCTTTGCCTCTTAATTCTTTCCTCTATTTCCTTTTACTTTTCTCTTGTCGCACGATCATGCTCAGCCTTCATTTGGGTTTCAGTAATTCCTCTCGGTTACATTGCCCTTGATCAAACCCTACCAGGTCTCCTATACCCTCTTGGCCATTGACTTTGGATCACTTGTTCCCGTGTCCCTGGGTTTGTTAATATCTACTTCCTTTCCCTCGCTTCCCCTTCTCCCATGTCCGGAACTGTGGGTCCCGTTGTTGTTTTCTCCAGATTGTTTATCCCTGCCTATTTTATCTAGATAGACCTGCAGAGATAACAATATGCACAAAAAACAAGATAGAGCAAAACAAAGCACCAAAAGAAAACAAAAAAAAACAAACAATGACAACCAAAAGGAAAAGCCTGTAAATGGTTCAAGGTCTGTTTGTTGACCTTTAGGGGTGTTTCCCGGTCGAATCTGATGGGGTGACTCGCCCTAGTCCCAAAGTCTATTTTTGGTATTCCCTCGGGACTTCCTTGCTTTGTCCTCTTGCTGTGCTGTTGCACGCCCTTAGTGGTTTTCCTAGGTGTGGTAGGGTCTGATCGGGTACAGTTCCCACACTGTGTCTCCAGTGTTGTCCCGTGTAGGGCTGTGATTCGGGGAGGGATGTCGTGTCTCGTAGTGGGGCTGGCCCTATGGTCCTCTCTGTGCATTGACTGATCTGAGCAGGGATATCCTCCTCAAGGCCTGGTGGGCCAGGATGTGCTCCACTCTCTTTTCCTCTCCCTTCATTTGCTCCTGTGTGCTCTGATCAGACATGTCCTTCTCCCCGAGCTGTAGCTTCAGTGCTGTCCTCTGAAGTGAATTCTTCTGGGAGGGTTGGAGGCTGTCCATGTAGTTGGGATTGGGGCCGGCCCCTCAGACCTCTCTATTGTTTCCCTGCTTCGTGGTGGTATGTTTGTTTAGTAAATTTTAATGATAGATAATTACTTTTTTTTTCCTCTTCCATATGACAGGAATATATTTTGTGTACTTTTGTTTCTCCCAGGACCTGCAAAAATAAATCCATCCTGATAGACTTGAGATGACTTATTATCTGGGACACTTACATGAGGACAAATGTGGAGTGGGGAGAGGGGCATTATATGGTGGCTCAGCCTCACTGCCATCAGTCATTTGCACTCATGAACTCTGTAGGACACAGCAGAAGGGCCCTGTTTCTGAGACTGTCACTCTTTATGGGCATAGAAAGCCTGGTCTTTCTCCTGATGTGGTCATTAGTGGAGCCTATATCTCAAAAACTCAGGATTCAAAATCTCAGCATTCTACTAAATGACTAAACAATAAAGTCAGAGTCCAAATATGAAGCAGAAATATAGAAAGACTGAGTAATTGGCACACTGTAAGAAAAATGCAAGAATTTAAACTTCATGTTAATAGTATTCCACTAAAGTTATGCCATTGGATAAAGAGAAAATGAAATGCGGTCATCCAGCATAAAGCCAAAATGCTGACTTGAGAGAAGAGTACTGTCTGTGTTTAAAATGGAGAAGGTATAGAATACATTTTTTCCTTCAGTTTTCATAAGAGGGAATCAGATAACCAAGTTTATAAGTAAGAGAGGTTTAAAAAAGCATACAAGGGGGCTTCAGAAAGCTCTTGGGAAAATGAATCTCAAAGATAATGAAAATGTCCATGAATTTTTTAAAACCCTCCCCTCCAATATTGTTTAACATTTGGCCTGTGGGCTTCAGTGAAAGACTGATCTTGTTACTAAACGCTTGTGTTACTTTGACCAAAAATGTGCTTTTTCTCTTTAAAATGTAAGTATAGTTATATTTCTATTAGTATAAGTAGGCATTCAAGGATGAATTAAATTCAAAACTAGTCCTCTTTGTTTATTTGAGTTAAACTTGTGTTTTATTCTTGCAGCTCCTAAGACCGCGAGAGAAAAAGCTGGGACTAGGTGAGTAGAGTTTTATCCATCACCTCTAGACTTGCCCTTGCCTTGGCTAGTTTCCCAGTTTGAAACAGGGCCATGATGCAGTAACCTTCTATGATGTCTTTTAATAATCTTAATAACATTTAGATGGCTTGGGTTAGGCTGCCATATCGGTTGAACCCACTCAACAGAAACCATTGTTAAGTCTTTTCAATATCGGGAATTTAATGGTGGGAATCTGGTTACACAGATGAAGGAATGCTGAGAAGCCAAGTGGAACAGTGAGGCTACACAGAGATTAGAACAGCTGGAGGCCACTATCTTCCCTAGGGGTGGAGCAACCATGGAAGAAGATGGAGTTTTTGGAGCCTGGAAACTGTGCCTGCCCCAGAGTGTGGAATACCTGGTAGGAATTGGAGCCATGGGTAATACTCAGCTTCTGCTGGGAGACAGAATGAGAGATAGGACACTTAGACTTTGCCCCTTCCCTTCCTGTAATTTCCCTGTATCTCCCATTGTCCAAAGCTGTTTGGAAATCTGTTGACAAGAGAACCTGGGAAATGTAGTTCATTACAATACAGGGCAGTAGCTAGAAGGGCCGGAGAAATTCTGATGTGAAGGCAAATAAACAGCACACCACCTTAGCTTCTGAGGTGAAAATTGAAATGCATGTATGCTGTCTTGTCGATATGTTTAGGTTCCAATGATTTGGCATATGAAGATGAAGGATGGCTACATCATTACCTAACTGTCAAAATGACACGGTTACGGAGTGGCCAGACCACTGAGAATTAACAGCGGCAGCACAGCCATGCTGACACAAACCTTAACCATCATAATCATAGTTACCCTCACCTCGTTCCTGGTGCTTGTTGTAGCCAGATGTGTGTTGGTAACGGATAAAATAGTCAGGTATTAGATTTTGCACTATTTTTGTGAATGCAAAATGTCAGACAACAAGCATATGTGCCCTTCTTTCTGTTGTTGGTCACAGTTGCTCATGTTGAGAATTGTTATAATTTGGGTGAGAAATATGGGAGCTTGGAGGAAGCACAATTCTTAAAAGTTGAATATCAGCTTATCAGGTGATCCCAAAGTCTGAATCCAGAAAGTCCTTCAGGATTGTATCACAAAAGCAGCCAAGAATTACTGGTGATGCATCCAGAAGGCTGCAGATGCTCACGACTTAAGAACAATTTGAAGCGTTCAGCCTGCTAGTAAGATCTATGATAGTTAGGAGCTAGGCAATGCAAGTGTCCCCAAATTCCGAACCTGAGCAGGTATCCTTACCTGCCAGATCCCCAAGGGACTGGTGTACCTAAGATGACAAATGAACTGTTAATTGCGTATTTGGACCCAAACATCAGAGAAGACTGCTATGCCAAACACACAGTGTAGAGATGGGCGTGGTGTGCTGGGAACAAGTGCAGGAAGACTTGTCCAAGCATCAGGGACAAAGGTGAGAACAAAGGTTGGAATTGAGAGCTGTTTTGGATGTAGAATACATAGGACTTGCTTTTCGTTTTAGAAATAAAGGCAGGAAATCCTGGCTCACCCCTAGGCTTGTAGATGGAGGGATTGGCTAGTTGGTGCTACCATTTCCTGAGTGGTTGCTTGATTGAGGGTGAGGAATGGGGAGTTGGTGTTGGAATATGTTTATTTGTGATTTCTGAGTATCCAAGTAGAACTGCATGCTATGTTGTGCTCTAAAAAGGCTGGCCTAACTGTGTGGGAACAGAGTGGCGGCGGCAGCTTGCACCATGAGGTAGGAACTTTGGGGCTGGTGAGTTCATGTGAATAAGGACAGGAAAAGCTCCGACAGGGAGGCCGAGAACGCAAGTGGTGTCACTGAGTCGCACGGGTACAAACAGCTAAGTAGATTTGCTTTGCTGTGTATATGCTCAGCAACAAACTGAAATTTCAAACAGTAATAAAGAAACTGACTAGCCTGTAGGTAGATGTTTAGGAAACTCCAACATAAAGATTTGATTTATTTATTTTACTACAAGAATAGGAGATTGTTTTGTGTAGACTTTTGCAATGTTTTCCTGCTAAACTGAAATACAGGTTTCATCTTGTTTGTTAAATCAGCACCCGAGTTAGGGTGAGAGGCCAGCCACCTTCTTGGCTCTCTGTGTACTGTATGTGGCCCGTCTGCTTTAGCGAATAGCCACCAGCCGTCTTACTCGGAACACCTTTGAAGCACTAGCTTAGGTTTCTCGGGGGCCTAATTAACCATTTCTTTACAATTTAAGTGTTCCTTAAGCTTTTCTGGTGATTTTCTTCTAATTGGTATGTGTACTTTGATGTTCAGGAACTGCATACATTCATGGGATGAAACATGCCACAGGAAACTACATCATCATCATGGACGCTGACCTCTCCCACCATGTAAGGGGTTTGCTTCTTTGTTAGCTCCTTTTGGGTAGTTTGAGCCAGTTTTATTGACTTACTGTTTATTCTTTCTGAATTTCAGCCCAAATTTATTCCTGAATTCATTAGGTAGGTATTGAAGGAATTTTTATCAAAAATGTACCTGTTGTCTTACATTTTTTAATCCAAGATATAGCCATTGTATAGATTTGCGATTCATGCAGGTAGAGGTATGACCAAATAATACAGATTAGGAGCCCTGAGGGACAGATCAATATATAATTCTATTTGCTACTTAAATTCTTCAAGGTCACAGAAAAAGTAAACTCTCCTCATAAGTGGATTTAAGCCCTGAATTGTGCAAGTTAAGCCCAGTAAACAAGTTGGGTTTACCCCAGTAATACCTGAGTACTTCAGCCTGGCGAGTCTGTCAGCATAGTTCTTTTGGGTGTTATGTTAGCCAAGAAGCCAGGGTGATTAACCCTGTAGGTGCTAAGATGTATTGATCAAGTTTAATAGCCATTTCTAGTAAAAACACGACAGTAGAAAGAAGAGGGAAGCACCCACATATGATCAAGGTGGCCCGGTCCTGACACTGACATCTTATCAGCTGATGAGAAGCTGAAGGCTGCTTAGACTTGTCAGGATGGAAACAGGAGATGTTTAAGTAATGTGGTAGTAACACAAGGGTCCAGTAAAGGTTGGTAGAGGCATCTAGTTCTCCCTCTTGGCAGATACATCAGTGGAGGCAGCAGCGATAGAACCTAACTTGAGGGTCACCATGAGAATCCATAGTATGCCTCCAGCCGACCCCTGAGAGGCAAAGGTCAGATATGCCTCCACTCTCGAACCTCTGCCCACAGCACTCTGCTTCTCATGGACCCATTGCAGTGACCACAGGATTCACCGACCATATTTACAGTTTGTTAAGGAAGCAACAGGCTGCGACTCAGGATCAGGCACATGTAGGAGGGCAGGCTCTTGGCCCTGCTGTCTGTCACCACTGAGTTCCACAGGGCCCCTTCCCGCCCTGTCCCCTCCAGGTCTGCTGCCGAGTCTCATTTGAGCTGTTCTCTGGCTCTAATGTTACAGTTCTTGGCCCTTGCAGCTCTTTTAGGGGGTCCTTGCTGCTCTACTCATCTTGTCGATTTTAAGGCATGGCCCCTCACAACAGGAAGGGGCACAAACTGACCGGGCTCCTTCTCTGTGGCCACAGCTGCTTCATTTTGCCTGGTCTGTTAACCAATTCCTGCAAGATGCTTAGCAGTCACAGGGCAGGTTACATCCCAGGACCCCCCCCCCAAAAAAAACCAAAGTTGTTTGCTATTTACCCAGGAAATGCCAATCAACCTGAACGATTAACAAAGCCTCTGGGGTCAAAAACTAGGACAGAGGTGAGTCCTCAAGGTTTAAGGGGAAAATCTCTCAGGCTGTTTTTCCAGAAAACGAAGGCAAAAGTCCACCGAAAGGCACTCATTTCACTGCACGGTGAGATAAATTCTCAGAAATCCGGAGAGACCACAAAACTCCTCCCAGAATAGGAATTTGCAAGTTGTTCTAAATATAAGCAGAAGACTAAAACACAACTCCTAACTCACTGCCATTGAGTTGATTCTCACTCTAAGTGGCTCTGTAGGACAGAGAAGAACTGCCCCTGTGGGTTTCTAAGACTGCAACTCTTTATGGGAGTAGGAAGTCTTATTTTTCTCCCTCGGAGTGGCTGATGGATTCGAACAGCTGACCTTTTGGTTAGCAGTCCAGTGCATAACCCACTAGTCCACCAGAGTTTCTAAACTGAATATACAAAACCCAAATCAAATTATGTCAAAATATAACTGAGAGTTCCCATTACACGTCCGGGGGGCATTCTTAGTCAGTCCTTCCCTTGCCCTTCAGGACCCTATTTGATCCGAGCTCATCTGGTGGCCCCTTCCCTGTGCTTGTGTAAGATGTCACAAGTGTCACAGGAATATTCCTTTCATGTCTGTGTTCACACAGCTCTCAGCCCCCGTGGCTTAGAAAGTTCTCTTCTTGCTGCTTAATGGCTAACTACTTCTTATCTTAATCTTGCCATAAAGTCACCTCTTCAAAGTCTTCACTGACCACCTTGGTTTTTTACCATAAAGTTAAAGATCAACCAAGAAAAATACTTGCACAGTACAAAGGGCTTGATATCTCTGATACACAGAAGTCCCCTTAACCTGATAGGGAAACAGAAGCTGTGGAGTAGAATATGGGTGAAAGAGACAGACAGGCTGCATTTAGGAGAAATCCACAACATGAAGGGCAAGTTTCAACTTGGGGTCTAGGTACAGACATGCATATTCAAATAATTGTGTTAACCATTGTATTGCCCACTAATTTGTCAGAATTAAAGCTTTTAGCACAGTAGCATCCAGTGACAATGAAGATGGTAGAAAATGCGTACACGCATTGCCAGAAGTGTGAGTTGCTAGAATTTCTGAGGATATCAGCTGGAATTAAAACTACTCAGACGATCTTTTTTTTTTTTTAAAGCAATCTCATTATCTTCTGTCTTAAGGGGCCTGAGCACCAGTATATCCAGGTGTAAGATTGCTGATTGCAGCAGTATTCACGTGCCCTAGAAACGCCCAGTGGGTTTGTGGGTTGGATATTCTATCGGCTGCTCTGCAGCTATTAAAGGGAAAAAGAAAGATCTTTGTTGCTTCATAGGCATGTCTATTAGGTATTAGTAACTGTTGAAAAGTAAGCTGCAAAATGTACTTTTAGATTTCCAGTTTCTAAAAGCAACCAAATACTACATGAGTGTGTATGAATTCTCTGTCTCAAAGCAAACAGGAAGAGCTAAGGGGACACCATGCCTTTAGCCAGAGGGACAGGTATACCATGGGGTCTTAGGGGAGGGGAAAGGAAAGGGATTAATAATCTCATTAATACAATTTTGGATGGTTTCATGTGGTACAATCAATCTATGTTTATCACTTAAAAATTCAATAAGAAAAAAGAAGGCATTTCAAAACCTTGCTTTGAAAGAAGATTTTTCAGTGGGATAATCCATCTGACTTAACTTTCTGGGTTTTTTGAGCATTTTATAATTTGGGTGAAATTTTATAGAACTAATTGGTTTTCCATTCAGCAGTTGGTTGGTTCTGCGGAGTGAGTTCTCATCCGTGAGTTCCTGATCATTTTGTATAGGCCTGCCTATTGCTTGGGTGTAAGGTGATCCCAGGAATGGGTTTAAAGAGTGACTAAGGGCCAGACGCTCAGGGCTTCTACCAGTCTCTGTCAGGCCAGTACATTTGGTCCATTTTGATTTCTACGTTTGGCTTTATGATTTTTCGATGCTTAAAAGTTCTGTGTTGCCTATGAAAATAACAGCTGAGAGTTCAATAGTTGTTTCTGATGGACAGCTACTTTTTCCTGCAGGAAGCAAAAGGAAGGTAATTTTGACATTGTCTCTGGAACCCGGTACAAAGGAAACGGAGGTGTATATGGCTGGGATTTGAAAAGAAAAATAATCAGGTATATTCATGTGGTCTTATCTTTTCATGTAGCTACTGCAGGCTCGTTGATAAGTGTTAGATGGCATTGTCATGCCTTGGATTGGGAGCTGGGTTTAACTTCTAATCAAATGGTCCCTGTTACCTTCCTATCTGCAATGTCCTTCCTCTCTTGTTTTACATATTTCCATCTTTATCATTTTTAATAAGACACATCTCAACTACTATTAAGTACCCTAAAGTATTGGGGCTTTAGATCCTGATTATGTCACCACACATATGTTAATTTTTCTAAGTTTCACTTTTCTCCTCATAGTATGGAAATAGAGCCTGTTATTCTTGCATCATGACCACACCCAAGCTTAGTGGCATCGAGCACCATGAACTGTCCCCCATGCTATTATTGATGGACCGGTGCTGGGCTCACTGGGCTCGCCCATGCAGCTTCCATCCTCAGGAGGCCGGCTGGTTGCACCAGGAGGGCTTAGTAGCCTCATCTGTAGTCCAGCAGCTGGTGCTGGCTGGTGACCTGGGCCATCTCACTTATGCACTGGGCCTCTCATCAGCCTGAAAGCTGGCCTGGTTTTTCTCACAAGGCATTCTCAGGACAGCACTTCAGAGTACAGAAGCAGGAGGCTGCAGGGCCTTTGACCAAGTTTGGTCAAGGCAAACCCCTAATCAAACAGGAGGGAAATTGATACCACCTCTTGCTGGGAAGACCTGCAAAGAGTTTTTGATCATAGCTTATCAGCCTTTCAGAGTTGTTGGATGACGTGAGCTTCTGTCTAAGGGTCTATGTACTTATTGCCATCAAATTGATTCCAACCCATAGTCGCCCTCTAGAACCAAGTAGAGCTTCCCCACAGGACTTCCCAAGACTGTAAGTTTCTACGGAGGCTGACCATCGATCTTTCCTCTTGGAAGGGCTAGGTGGGTCTGAACCTCCCTCCTTTTGGTTAGTAGCTGAGGACTTAACTGCTGCGCCACCATGGTTCCAGGAGAGAGAGAGAGAGTGTGTGTGTGGGTGTGATCGTGTTGTTAAATACAGTTGAGCTGATTTCGACTCATAGCTGCCCTTCAGTACAACAGAATAAAACTGCACCATTCTCACAATTGTTATTTTTAAGCCCATTGTTGCAGCCACTGTGTCAGTCCATCTCACCGAGGGTCAATCGCACTGAACTAGTTTAGGTTCCAATTATTAATGGATGTTTGCAGCCCATGTCTTTTCATTTTGAATCTTTCCCCATCAGCAAATGAAAATAGAAAACGTTTTACTCCATCCACGTCATTGAGGATGACTCTTGAGGAGGCAGCTCTTCCCCTAGTTGTACTTTATGTGCCTTCCAGCCTGAGGGCTCATCTTCGAGTTCTCAATCTCTCTGCCCTTCTCAGCCTCACTACCACCTGTGTAATAACACTTATGGAAACCCTCCCTCCCTGATGTTGATACTTTTTATCATTGCAACAATCCCATTGAAAACTTCAAGTTAACCTCAGTTCGTCTCTTAGCTAACTGTAGAACTACGGGCAAGTCAATTAAAACACTGAAAGGTTTCAGTAGTTTTTACAGTTGGTTTAAGATCATGGCTTTCAACCCTGGGTTGAACATTGGCACATAGGATAAAACACACACGTACATGTACGTGTTCCCTTTGCCTTGTTTCATGAAAAGACCTCAGTTTTAAAATGCATTACCTGGAATAGATGTACAAGCATGCACATTTAGACACTATGACACTCTTTTGCTTCAACTTATCTGTTAGAAGCCACCGGAAATGTGTTTTATAGCTGTTATCCCAATGTTATCCGTGTGGCATGTACCTAAAAATGATTGCTATCTAGTCTACTCTAGCTCCTGTCCGAGTCGGGGTGAGTCTTTTCAAAAGTAGATTGCTAGGCCTTTCTTCTGAGGTGCCTTTGGGTCGACTCCAATCTCTAACCTTCTAGTTAGCATCGGCACTGAAGTGCTAACTGCCCGCATGTCATCGCATTGCCTAGCCTGGTGTTTGTTGTGTAATGATAGGCCTTCCACAGTTCTGTTCTGCCCTGTAGGGTCTCTGAGTCAGAACTGACTTGACAGCACTAGGTTTGGTTTTAATCTCAATCCTTCCTAAGGATGGGGGTGGGGGATTTGGCTGTGTCCCTGTCTCCAGAGTGGTCCCCAAAGCTCTGAGGACACTCAAGTGGCTGCAGTACTAAAGTCTCTCCAGACTCTGGACTTAGGTCACATTGTTTGAAGCTAACTGTTACTGTTTGGTCACTAACAGCTCGCAGTTGAGTGATAGTGTTTGATGCCCATACCCTACTTGAGTCACAGAGGAGCCCGAGATCCATTTGCTGGGATTGCCAACCGCCTAAACCCTAACTTGCCATGCCACCTTTTAAAGCCAGAAGGCAGGCCATTTTTATGCAGATTGACCCGTTGCCTTGGTGGAAACACAATCACTTGTTCTTTGGAAGGTGAAAAGGAAACTCAATGGCCCACTCTGCTTTCCTTCTGACAAGAGAGAGCTTCAAAAAGTTTGTTATGGTGGGGGGTGGGGGGGATGGCACGTTTGTGGAAAAATAAAAGTAAAAGATAATGGAATTTTTCCACAAAAACTCTGAAGCCCTTTGTATTTCTAAATAATAATGGTTTGTAAATGTTATCAGCTTCATTTAAACATCTATTTTAGTTCCTAAAATTTGCAAGGATGATTCATTCTGAGAATTCCTTCTAAATTTCCTTTTCAGATCAGAAAAAGTCCCAATGTAGTCTTTTAAAATAAAGTAGAGGTGTCATCTCTTTTCACTGATTAAAAATGGCTCCTGCAAGTGAATTAACATTTGGTGAAGTTAGTGAGGAGACACTTTTTAGTGTCTTTCTTAGTGATGTTTCTCTGGAGTCAACTATTTTATGAAGACTGTTGTTTTTCTTGGCAGCCGCGGAGCCAATTTTATAACACAGGTTTTGCTGAGACCAGGAGCATCAGATTTAACAGGAAGTTTCAGGTATAGAGAAAATACTTTTTAATTTTGTATTGCTTGATTTGTGCTTGCCTACATTTCTTGCTTTACGATGACTTAGTTCAAGGAAATGCTTTGCACTTTTACCTTGTTTTCCTCTGAGATGTCCAGAAAGCAGACTGCTGTTCCTTAGAAGCTGATGGTGTCATCAGAGGCAGGGCGTAGGTCAGAGGGCATGTGCATCTTGCATCAATACTCGGCTCTGTTGGAGGACCCCGGGGCCAGTATGCTCAGAACAACACACAGGCTGGTGAGCTTCTGCACTTGCTGTAAACAATAGCTTTGTCTGCAGAAATATTGGAAACTCAGTATCCCTGTCAAACTTCCTCAGTTACCTCTGACTGCTAAGCGCTGGATTCTGGCTCACAACACCTTATATAGGGGTTCCAAGACTTTAGAAATCTTTATTGGCCAGATAAAACCCCACCTTTTCTCCCACAGAGTCGCTGGTGGGCCTGACCTTTCCATTAGCGGTCTAACATGACACTGCCACCAGAGCTCAAAAAAATGGTAGCCCATTACCATCTATTCGATTCTGACACCGTAGCAACCCTATAGATGGAGTAAAATTGCCCCGTAGGATTGCCAACACTATATAAAACATGGAAGCAAACTGCTGCATCTTTCTCCCGCCAAGTAGCAGCAGGTGCGTGCCATTGCACCACAAACACATCATTCCGTTCCACACTTCAAAGCACAAAGGGAATCCTGCACGACTGCCACATGGCTACAAGGCAAAGAACAGTCGTGCTCCCTGGTCTCTGTTAAGAGTAAGGTGACCAGACGTCCCGCTTTTGGCGGGACAATCCTGATTTTTAACAATCTGTCCCGCATCCTGCAGCGTTTTAAAAAAAGTCCCGGTTTTTGGAAAGAATACACCACAAACTAGGGTAGACGGTTTCAGCTGTTGTGTGGCTATTTCGCCAGGATATGAGTTTTATCAGTGGTGTTCTGCTTTACCAGTGTTAAAATATGGTCACCTTAGTACAGAGGGGCTAATGGATGTGGACCCCACAGGCCCCTGTGTAATTGTCCACAATGCAGAGCTGGGGAAGAGGGACGTAGCTTCTCAGCCAGCCACGTCATTGTGCAGCTCATCTTCCTAGTGCTCTGTCTTCTGGCCACGTCTATGGTGATCTGTGTGCGCGAGAGTGAAACGCCTATTCTCATGGGTGTGTGCTTGCTAATGCAGGAGCGCCACACGTAAAATATGTGCACTGTCGCCTGTGGACTATGCGGTGGAGACGCAGCCAGAGAGGCGATCAGGGTCCCATGTAGTGAGAGCCAGGGTGCAGCCTCGCTGTGCGCATGGTGACTGCAAAAATACACGAAAACGCTCATCTCCTCAAAAGGTTAATGACCTATTAAAAGAAACGTTTATTTTTTATTCATTAAATACATGCATCGAAGTTAAGGTGACCAGATTTTAACATTGGTAAAGCAGAACACCATTGATAAAACTCCTATCCTGGCGAAATAGCCACATGGCAGCCGAAAACCATATACCCTAGCTTGTGTATTCTTTCCAAAAATCGGGACTTTCTTAAAACGCTGCGGGACACGGGACAAATTGTTAAAAATAGGGACTGTCCCGCCAAAAGCAGGACTACTGGTCACCTTAATCGAAGTACAACTTGTCATTACATATGCTTTTTACAAAATAGGAAAAGGAATCTGAAAAACAAAACACTGCTGTCTGCCCTGACACTGTTTAATGCAGACACCTGGACAACCCTCGCTGTAGCTCGTTTGCTGGGCCTGTGATCGCAGCATCCATCGCTTTCTCCAGGATATTCTGCGAGGAGAAGTAAATCTCTTCCAAGAGTGACCCTTGAGGAGAATAAGAGCAGAAGGGTTCCTAACCCAGCCCAGAATTTAGGTTCAGTTCGCCGCTAAGGTCCCACAGCATGGAACCAAAAAAAGTCATTGCTGTTGAATCAACACTGACTCTCAGCGACCTAATTTAATTGTCCAGGGTAGAACCTCACCTGTGGAGAGCAGCTGGTGGTTTTGAACTGCTGACCTTGCAATTAGCAGCCCAACTCGTAATGACTACATCACCAGGGCTCCTTTAACACATGTGAAGATGCTTGTAAATACAGCAGGTTCCTCAGCCTTTATGTTTTTAAATAACTATCCCACCATCAGCTTCTGTTCACTGCAGACTTAGTCCAGACGGGCTCGTTGGAATGCTTCAGGAACTTATCCACATACGGCGTCCCGGGCTCTTCTCAGGGTCATGCTGTCTGTAGTGACAGGAGGTCCTAACTGAGTGTGATGAGAAGAGCATTGTCTGAGACCCAAAAAGAGCCAGTGCTGTTGAGCCAATTCCAATTGAGAGCAACTCGATGGGCTGAGCAAAACTGCCCTGGAAGCTTCCAAGGCCATCCACTTTTACGGAAGCAGGCCACTTCAAGGGGCTGGTGGACGCGAACCACCAACTTTGTGGCTGACAGCCAAGTACTTTAACAAGGGCCTTTGATCTTCTAAAAGATATATTAACTTTCAAAAGTAGTTAGCACCTACCTAGTGACAAATGTGATGTCATCAATTATGAGAGCACTTTTATGTAACAAGGGGTAATGAAAGTTATGAACAATCAGGATATTAATGTGGATATTAAATTTAGTATTCACATATAATCTTAATTTCTTACAGATTATACCGAAAAGAAGTCCTACAGAAATTAATAGAAAAGTGTGTTTCTAAAGGCTATGTCTTCCAAATGGAGATGATTGTCCGAGCAAGACAGTTGAATTACACTATTGGCGAGGTATGGGACGGAAGGTGATCCTATGTTAAACTCCTCATAAAGAAACAGTACGGTTTTGACTGTTTATAAATGGTTTTAACGTCTATATTACTAAATTAATTTGGAAGACTTCCAGTTGTTTAGAATGTCCATCCACATAAGAATGAAAATTAAAATCCCTTTTAAATGTGCTTAAGCTGACTAAGGGTTAGCACATGAACAGAAGGCAGCACTCACGTTTAAGTGATGAAAAGTTGCTGGTACCTTCTCCATCCTGGCCCACCCTCTGGCCTCCGCATGAGTATAGTGAGTCTCTCCACTACTTTTCCTCTCCTGGAGGCCAGCCACCACCTTGCTTTACAGTGACCAGTGACTCGGCTTGTGACAGTGACTAGGGACCACAGAGCAAGGCACGGAAGAGGGTGATATTTAGGGCGAGTTAGTGAGCTCTTGGTGAAGACTGTCCTCTTTTAACACTCAGAGCAAGCAGATGTCTAGCCTAAAAGGCCACTTCTCTTGTGGCAATTATAAGCCTTTTCACATCAAGCTAAAAGTACAGTGGTAGCTAAATTTGACCCATACTTTTTACAAAACTAAGTGAAAGGTCATTTTACCTGTGGAATATCATTTTCCTGTGATTGCAGCAAGACTGACTTTCATGTATATTTTTTTTAACTAGGTTCCAATATCATTTGTGGATCGTGTTTATGGTGAATCCAAGTTGGGAGGAAATGAAATAGTCTCTTTCTTAAAAGGATTATTGACTCTTTTTGCTACTACATGAAAGAAAAGTGTTTATGTCTCTTTATCATGTTCATTTCAATTAAAGCTTAAAAGAAGCCTTGTTGATGATTTTTATAAAATGTATTCTTAGAGTATAAATCATAAAGTAAGGTATATCATGTAATTTTTTCCCCTGAAAAAACACCTATATTTAAAAATTAGGAAATGAATAATTTCCTCAATTTTTATTTACATTTTACTATATGATCTATAAATAAATGTGTATGATTTTCTTTTGCATAAAATATTGTTTTCATTGGAGTATGTTAACGCAGAATTTCTCATAGGGAAACAATTTTAAATGTTCTTTGTAAAAACTGAATTAGTAGCTCTTGGTACCTAACATATCAAAAGAGGAAATTAATTATACTCATGAAATACAAATGGCTGTTTCTGTATGAAGTGTGGTCGGGGAAGGAATATACATCTTTGCTCTTTTCTCTAAAATGTACCTTAAATTCACACATTTTTTAAAACCAGCTAAAATAGTGCGTTTAGTTCAAAATTGGAAGGTTTTTGTGTTTGCAACTCTTGAATTTAAATGTTTCATCTACCAAAACAAGTTTATTTAAAGGATGTATTAGAAATTAGATACAGCGAGGTGGCAATTGACTGCATGGCTGGTTGTTTTACTCTCTTCTGAACCTCTTTATCAGTAAGGAAACAAAATGAAAACATTGAGGGACAAACTTAGTGCCTATAGTAATTTTTAAATATCTTACTGAATTACTTCTATAAAGATCTTTTCCTAAAGTCCTTTGTTTTCATATTATTTTGAAGACCCTGGAAAATAAGCAGGCTGATTTAGCCATGTCTGACTTGCCATTGACATGCTCTCAAACAGACCCTACTACATAGGAATGCCCGAGTATAAGTTGTTTCCTGACTTTTAAACTTTTTGTGATTTGCATTAAAGTTTACACAGCAAATCAGTGTTCTATTCAACAGTTCCTACACATCCTGTTTCACCGCACTGATTACAGTCCCTACATTGTAATGTCACTTCTCCAACTTCCCCTGGTTCGAATTTCCATTCCTCCTCCTCACTGGTCTTCCTGCCTTCTGGACTTTGTCCAAGGGCTAATGCTGCCCCTTTGATCTCAAGTCATTGATTAGTCCAAGAGTGTTTACCTCTCTAGTGTTATTGCTCACTTTATAGACCTAACCACCACTTTGCTGGAAATTGAGCCTGTAGGCGTGAGTTCTGTTCCAGGCCTGAAGGGTGACTAAAGACCACACAGCCTTGGGAGTTCCACTGGTCTGTCTAGCCAAACAGCCTGGTCTTTTGTATGGTTTTGTTACATTTTTCCTCACGCTACCCAGGACCTAGTGTGATCCCTTTCAGAACAGTTGGTAGTGGTAACTGGGTACCAACTAACTCTTCTAGTGGCAGGGTCCAGTAATTCATTGGACTAATTCTTTCTAAGCATCTTCTTCACTGTTCTTTGCAAGGGATGGGGAGAGACCAATAGTTGCACCTTATGGTAGCCCCTCGGGAGTGCTTAGGACACCAGTCACTGTTCTCCTTCTTTCGTTGAGAACGTGAAAAGCTCCTCTTCTTCCCATAGCTGGTTGCATAGTACATATTCCAGTGAGGGACACTAGTTTCCTTTTGCCCAGAGCTGTGCAGCTGACCCACCAGAGACCCAACTTTAAGGAAATGATTTCTCTTGAGATCTCATTAATAACTATAAAATTGATCAGTTTGGTGTAAATTATTGGTTTTAAGCAAATCAAATAGAAATGTAAGTATGCTTGTTTCTCAGTATAATTCTGTTCCAAATCTGTTCTTCCTAACAAACCGAAAGTTAAATTTTCAGTAGCTAGTGTGTGTAGCCAGAGTTAAGTATCTCAGAGAACCCGCTGTGAAATAGAGAGGGGTTTACCTTTCTGACCACACAAGAGTAGGTAACTTCTTAATCCTTTCCATTCTTAGTTCCACAATTATTTCAACATAATCACTATTGGAATTGGTTGTAAAGAAAGTTTTTTGAGTGATTGGAATTAGCTGTAAAATTTTTTGAGCCTTGAAGACTGTCTCACCATTTGGAAGTTATTTAGAAAAGAATGTAGACTATTGAGATGCAATTTTTGTAGTAAATCTGATGACTTAAAAATACTATAAGAATCTCTTCAAACATTTACATCTGAATCCAGCATCCCTTTTTTTGCTTTCTGAGGTCAGGATGAGCTCCAGATGCCTTGTCTTTGTTTGTAAGAGCACAGTATGGAATCTAAGCATAGCTAAGGAAAACTAAAGTAACTTTTTTTGCTTACTTACTAGCTTTTGCCTGTCTTAAGTCATTGTTCCTCCAAATCAAATTATTTTGCCCCACTTAAAAAAATTCTTTTTTCAGCCATTGTTTTCTCATGAAATGCTGATTTAGGTTTTATCCATTCAGAAATTAATGAACGACTATATTGAATATGTTTGCTAAACTAGCTAACCAAAGTCTTAGATGCTTAGCTCTTTGTAACCATATTTATACTATAGCTGCTTTTGAGATGTTAAAGTATGGCCCAAGTATTTCTTAAAATTTTGAAATTTAGCAAAACAAATGTAGTTAGAATACATATATAAAGCAAGCTAGCTAAGTTCATCCTTCCCAGTGGGTAGGATTTTGTTTTGTTGTTTTTCATTGTGGTAGACTCCCACTTGGTCTCCGGTGAGGTGGGTTTGAAGCTGCAGGTAGTGAGTGCATTGATTGCTTGGGTTGGCCCAGGTTCACACAGGTACAGCTGCTGGGCCCTCTCCCCAAGGCCATGAAGTCATTGTGTCACCGAGCACTAGTATCGTTTCGGATGACGCCCATTGGGAACAACTTCACCCAGGACTTGTTTCCTTCAGGCCAAAGACAGGCGCCCTGTAACTTGTTGCGAACTGCACGTTCCGGGACAACAGTTACTTCTATAAAACTCGGCCTCCATCCAGCGAACACCCTAGCCTACCAGGAAAGGGTTGGGCCTTCCAGGGGTTGTGTCTGATCTCAAGTGTGAAACAGGAGGCCTTCACACCTCACCTATGGCAGGAGGTGTCAGGCCCCTGCGGCCAGGTGCTGGGCTGCTTCCCGCCATTGCTCTCCTGTAGGCTTGGGGCCTCCTAGCACGTGGAGCCGCCCCGGGCGGCCCCTACACCCCTCCCGCCAGATGTAGTCCAGGCCCAGCTGGGCCCGCGCAGGGATTCCCAGCGCGGCCACCTGACTGAGCGCTGGGCGTGCTGCGGCCCGCTGCTGCTGCCTCCGCCAGCCACCCGGCTCTGCGGCCAGAGGAAGGCGCCCGCCTTGCACACGGGCCCTGGAAGCGCACTGCGGCCATTATCCGCGGCGCCTCCTAGTGGGTCAATGGCAAATGCGCCTGGTTCTCGCGAGATCTCCCTCTCAGTGGGGCTTATATAATTCCCCTCAGGCGGGGTTGGAGTGTGCTGGTGGCACCCTCCCTCAGAAAAAGTTAGGGACGAGAGTGGGTGGAAGGAAGAGAGCTATCCTTGGGGTTAGGGGATAGAGGGGGTGCTGCCCCCCACTGTCCCCCCCACTTGGCTGGACAATGAGTCCTCTTATGCTAATGAGTCACTTACGTCACTTCCGCTCTTTCTCGGCCGCCATTTTGGCTAGGGCAGGTTCGCGGACTCGCTCCGAGGCGCTTGTATTGTCTACTGAGGGGAGACGCGGGATCGGCCCCCTCCCCCGCCCGTTGCCGCCGCCGCCTCCGCCGGCCCGGTCTCCCCTCCCCCGCCCGCGGGCAGCGCTCAGGGAGATTTTGGCGTCTCCTCAGGCACAGCTCCCTCTCTCGGTCCCCGCTGCTGAGGAGCGAGAGGAGCGCGGCCGCCGCCAGCCTGCCCGCGCCGGGGA